GCTTCTGGTGTCTGTGTCACTTACTCTCTACTTTATTTTCTGACACAGGATCTCCTACTGATCCTGGAGCTCACACAGTGGGCCAGTCAGTGAGCTCTGGGAACCTGCCTCTCTGTTCCTCACCTCTGGTCCTGGGTTTACATACATGTCATTCCTGACATTTTACTGTGGTGCTGGGAATCTAAAAGATTCTTATGCCTGTGTGCAAGCACATCGTCAACAGTGCCATCTCCCCAACCCTAAAGCTCATTCTTTTGGCAATCAGATTAAAATATCTATTGAAGCCCCTGCAGTCTAGAATGCTTCCTGACTTCCTAAGAAGATACAATTATAAGACTTCCTGAATGCTGCACTTCTTACAACTTGTTCATTTACAGCATATAGTTTATTAAATAAAAACTCCTCACTAAAGTAAGTTGTGACGCCTCTTCCAAACTGAGTAACAAAATTTCATTCCATGAACCCAGAGGAGATATGTGACGACTTTCTTCAGTAGAGGAAGAGATTTTCCCTATTTGTTTGCTTGTTTGCTTTTCATTAAATCCTTCAAAGGAAAAAATGTGCTTTTATCTTATTTCTTTATTAAAATATACTTGTTTCTTTCTTTTTCATAAATAAATAATATGGCTTGGAAATACAAATACCATTGTATTTAATATTTTCATTTAAAATTATGTATTTGGAAGGTTTGAAAACAGCGATTGATTTCTGGGTTACTTATTTTGAAATGCTTATGATCTTTTGGCTATGAAATTTATAAAATTTCTAATCTTTTCATTAAATATATTTAGTTTTTGAAGATAAGGAGGAAAATAAGTTTAAGTAATATTGTTTGTTTAAGGCAATATTTAATGTTTATCAAAAGGGAGAGAATTAATTTGAATTTAAATAATATTTTCCAAGATATATTTTAGGAGATTTGCTCTGTTCCTAAAATTGAAAGAAAAATAATAATAGAAAAACATACTTTGAAACTAAACACAGTTGAATTGGAACAAGGGACCTTTCCCTTTTCAAGTCCACCCCGTTCGTGAGTTCCAATTGCTATTCCAATTAGAGTTCCAAATATTAGATGGAGCCCTGACCACATTCATGACTTACCTCAGTGTGCCAGATTCAACATGGTCCATTGTCAGGCATTACTTAACAGATGTTTCTTGGTGGGTATGAAATGAGTCTGTCAGTATCTTGATTTTCACCCCAATGTTCAGCTGAACCTCAAACTAGACACACAAAACCAAACCTGTAGGTTCAGATCTATAAGAACAATGACTAGAAAATCCAAAAATGTTTGCAGCATATTTAGAATGAACAAGTTTTCTACTTCCTTGAAAATGGTGTACTCACTGTAGAGTTGCCATAATTTCTAATAAATTTCAGGGCCCTAAGAACCAAATCCATTATTAGGATTCAAAAGCTGTGTTCTGTCATTTAAGGCCTCAGTTTAAAATGTGATTTATTCCTATTTGACATTTTATCCACACTCCCTTATTCATAGATTTTCATTATGGCATCTAGAAAATAACTTCAAATTGACAACCCTGAAAGTCAGACATTAGGCAAACAAGTTTGTTTTGAAACTTTTTTTTTTGTAGTGAAACTTTCACTATATTTTTATATTAGGTACTCCAGTCTGTGCACTGAGCTATCTCTTATACTCCAAATATTTTCCGAGAACATTTTTGTGTGTGTGTGTGTGTGTGTGTGTGTGTGTGTGTGTGTGTGTGGTTATGTATGCAATTCATTTCAGAGTTTTCTTTTCATACCACATCATCAGAAATCACAATTTACCTGTGTAAAGAACTTTACCTTAGCCATAATTCCATCCTTAATCTCTTCATAAATCTATGTTTGTAGAGATTCTTCACCACAGGAAGAATTCTGATTCAGGTATTTAGTGATGTCTTCAAAACTTACTTGTTTCTCAGTGTTTTCAGAGTATTTGGAATTAATGAATGCTTCTTAGAAACAAGTGCTGTAAATACACGATCATGAAGTTAACATTTCCTTTAGTTTTTCTGACACCATTTTGTATAAGCTCTGCCTGAAAATTGCTTATAAGCAGTAAATTGATTATTTCAAAACTATATTTTATTTATGTCTATAAGTATAAGCTGAAGCTTGAAAAGCTTACTGAATAGTATCCATGTTGTATGAGTCCAAGGTTATTGGGGACCAGTGAAAGAAAACTGAGTGAATATATAAATAGCTCTCTAAAATCTTTATGAACTTTCTGATCAGGTTGATAAAACTGGAGATTTTCACATGAGCTATTGAGAGGTAAATGACTGGACATTACTCTTTTCTTGATTCAAATTTTAGAAGAAGAAATGTAAAACCTATTTTGTACTTGTAATAATTAAGTTGTTGATTACTTTCAGGATCCAGAGTAAAAGTATCCAGAATGATCTTGTTAAAAAAGTTTTACAGCAAATAAATATAGAGACATATTTTCAAAATACAAAATGACATTTTTGCATTCACATTTAGATTTAATATCAGGGACTTAGAAGAAATATATTATTATAATATGTAATTAGAATTAAGTAGATATGGAAAGTCTTGTTCTACAAAGTTAGGGAAATGCTTAATATTCAAAACAATTTTAAAAAAAGTCCTCTCCAGGAGGCGTGGCACACATCTTTAGTCCCAGCACTTGGGAGGCAGAGGCACGCCTTTGGAGTTCAAGGACAGCCTGGTCTACAAAGTGAGTTCCAGGCCAGCCGGGTCTACAGGGAGACCCTGTCTCAAAAAGTCCGAAAAAAACCTTAACCTTTTGGGAATAGTTGAATGGATTACACACATTTTGCCTCCTGTGTTGTGTTACCTCTTTGATATTTAAAAATAAAAATAAGTGCAGGGTGTAGCGGCACATGCCTTTAATCCCAGCACTTGGGAGGCAGACAGGCAAGCGGATCTTTGTGCGTTCCAGGCAAGCCTGGTCTACATGGGGAGTTCCAGGACAGCTGGGGCTACAAGGAGACCCTGTCTCAAAAGACAACCCCCCCCTCCAAAAAAAAGTTCTTTCTGAAAAATGTACACCCAAACCTTAATGGAATTCCAAACATGCCCTTGCTGGTCCTCAAAGAATGAAGGGGGATTCATATCAGTCCAGAAGTTCGTCATATGTGCACTGCTCAATAGCATGCTTTTCTACCGTAGCATGATCTGACCAAGGGTATCCAGAGGCTGTTCCTCCAGCCCCTTTTATGTATCTGTATAAGAGAATGCACACCATTATGATGTTAATAAAGATAAAACAGCATCTGGGAAGCTAAATGTTGTAAAAAGCTTAAATTACATTTATTCCTCAGGCTTAAAACACAAACTGAGAATTATTCAAATTAAATTTACTTCCCATGACTCAAAACGGGAATATGGAAGCGCAGGGCAGTTTGAAACAGAGGCAGAGTCCCAAGTTTTGTATGGGTTTATCAGAGTACATAAACAGAAAATATCATTTCACTTTTGGGGACATTATCTTATTATCTTATAATAAATTTAAAGATGAAATTGAAAACATTTATCCCTTCAAATATTTAGCATTTCATGGGTTTAAAAATTCTAATGTACCAGAAATACAATCATGAGGTTGTTCGGAAGAGTAGGACCCTGATGTTCTAAATTTTTACACAAATCCAATAGCAACGGGGAGAAAATACTAAAAACAAGTTGAAAAATGCCCCAAGAAATAATAAGAAAATGAGATCATTTAAGAAAATATAAAAATTATTAGACATGTATATATTTATTTAAATAATAACTTTGCTCGAAGTTTTCATAAAATTTTCTCTTCTTAATATCATGATCATGTAAAATGTATGTAAATATATATGTTTAAGCTAATGGAATTAGAAAATTAGATATCTGTAAGCTTTTGTGTAGCAGAATACTTTGCAAGTGATGAACTGTTTCCATAGAAGCTCATCTGTCCTCACAACAGCCCTGTGAGGTAGGCAGGGACATCAGTGTAGTTTTGTTTCCTGAATCTCAGACACGGTGGGATCAAAGAGTATGTGTCTGATTTTCCTATCTCTTGGGTGTGCTCCTGTTCATTTTCCTATGGATCTTGCATATGCAAGAACTACCCAGGGACTCATGTGAAGAACACAGGTGCATAAACCTTCAGTCTATGCAGTTCATGCCAAGAAGAGGTACTAAACAGTGACCAGACTATAATGTGGTCATATGACCTACATATTTGTGATGACTAACTAGAGTGAAAAATCAATGAATTTGTGTAAAGTGAAATCTGATCAGCAAATTCGTGACAACCAAATTCAGATATAAATGTACTAAAACAAAGGAGGAAAAAGAGAAAAAAAAATAAAGCTTCTCAATGGTCTGTATAGGATGAGGTTTGTAGTTATTTTTAAAATGAAAACTTGACCTGACACATCAGGTTATTGGAATCTATCTTCAACTATCTTTCCATTCATTTAAAAAGAGCGTGTTCTGGTATTGGCATTAAGAATGATGGACAGGACAGAGACATCCGTCTCCATGCTGAGAACAGTGCGTGAAAGGTGCACTGAAGTTGCATAAGTCATAGTGCAGGCAGCAAATCCCCATGCTCCATCAACTTCGTATGGAGAAAAGAAGTGGGGAGGGCAAAGGGAAATGGCACATCCAAGTCCATGACAGAGTGGCCTGGTATGCTTGGAATACCTCATGTAATTTACACATAGGACAAGGCTAATGAGATCTGTCACAATAACAGACTGTAGGTCTCAAAGGTCCACCCGGAAAGTAGAAAAAGAGGCCATGGTGACCTTTCTATGTCCCTTTGTGCAGAATATCACCCCGTAAGTCAGAGCTGACAGAGATTTTTAAGCCCCTTTGTTTAATTTTGCTTTGGGAAAAAAAATAACAAAATAGTGAAACAAATATTGTTTGGCTTATTTCAGGTATTCTTAATTAAACAGTACCACAGACTTTATTGAGCATTTGAAAATACACACAAGGAACAATAGCTTTTTAATCTGTACTTTTTATATTTGACTTTCATTCAATTAAATAACCCAGTTTTGATCATAAAAAGGGCACTTGTTTCTACAGGATCTGTGTACAGCTTGCTCAGTTCCAAGTACTGTTTCCATGTATCTTCCTTGTCAGAACTGAGGTCATATCTCCACTTGCTCAGAAGCAAATTCTACAGGTTGTACAGCTGACCCCCTAAGTTGTTCTTTCAGATTCTATTTCTCCATAGAGTTCAGCTAACTTTTTAAACTCAGGTCCCCAGTCTCCAAGGTAGTGATAATCCTGATCTGACTGTGTTGTTGCTGAGTCCAGTGAGCTGATAGACCCAGCTTCTGATCTCTGACCCTCGTAGGCATAAGTCTGAAGAGAGTCATAAGGGGGTACACTGGGGTCCAGGTCTGCTTCTGCCAGTCTTTGCTTAATGAACTCCTGAACATCTATACTCTCCAGGGTGGATAAGGTCTGCTGTCTGGGAGTGAGCTTCACTTCAGGCCGGATGTCCCTGCGGTACTTGAGCTCCTCAGCAGCAGAAGGATTCCTCAAGGCTGTTATGTCAAAAGCCTCTGTGTCCTCTTCCCCACCTCCCTCATCATCATAGGTGACCACGTTCTCCCGCACATCCTCCTCGGAAATGATCAAGGGCTCTTTTTTGCCGCGCCTCAGGGTGATAAAAAGGACTACGATGGCTGAAGGAAAATAGAAAACGAAAAGTTAGAAAGAGAGAAGATATCTTAGACACTTGATATCGGCAATTTTTAATCCGTACTTCCCACCATTTTCAGGAGTGAGGCTAGCATTGCAACACAATCTCCGTTTATCTGCGCACTTTCTGGATGATTCCGTGAATATTAGAATACCTCAGAGAGAGTAAAAAAGTGGTCATTTCCCATGACCATTGTGAATTTGATCATCTGTTGAAAACTGTAATGCTCTCGTTTGCTACATTTGTTTAACTCAGAATGGTAACACCATAATATGAAATTTTGACTGGAAAAAATAGTTTGTTAACCATCTACAAATAATCATTTTAGATAGATACTCACAAGGCAGAACATAGCAAGTTTCTATAAAATCGCCAACCCTGTACATAAAATCAGGGCAGGTATATTACATTTGGTACTTAATCCTTTTGAATTAAATTATCATGTACTAATGCTTGCATTTTCCTATGAAGCTGAAGGAAGTCCTTACATTATGCACAATTCATACGTCATAGGAATAGTTCATTTTGTGATATAATTCATATAAATTATTTATTCCTCACAGTAGAGCTGTGATATTATTCAATTATAAAATGAAGAAGCAGAGGAATAAAGGTGAGGGTAAGTAATAAATACAATGAAAAGATTTATCGACAAGTATCAAAGTATCAGGTAGAAGAACTGAGACCATGGTTTATGACTTCTCAAATCTAAGATAATATCTGTAGTAAAATTTTCCACTCCATGGTACACACACACACACACACACACACACACACACTATCCATTCATATAAATGAGTAGGCACACACTTAGATATATAGAACCAATTACACTGTGCCTTAGGGTAGTCCTTGCGATGTACGATTACCATTAATTTTATAATCATTGAATGGGGATCGTAGGAATGAGACTTGGTTACTTGGCTTTGTGATTACTCAGTGTATAATGATTTTATATTTGAGAAACTAAATTATTATATATAGAAAAATTATTTCACTTAAAATTTGTTATAAAAATGATTAGATTTAATATAGTTGATTGAACCTGCATCTGCATACATTGCAATTTTCTTGTATAGCTAATATTCTTGGCTTTAGAAATCTAGATTTGAGGTTTGTTAGCAAGGAAACCTTCCTTGATCAGAATAAACAGGAACAGACAATCAGCTGAGAGCACAGTTTGGTAAATACAAATACATAAAATTAAATAAACAGGACAGCAATTTGAATTTGGATTTAAAATAAGAACACACACACATATAATACTTCCCATGTCCAATTTGCAATTTGTACACAATGTGAAGATACTGTAAAAAGCATATTTATGCTTGTATATCACAAATATATAATGTGATATCATATGACACATTTATTCTGTATCTATACATACACATGTGCCATGTCCCTACATATATTTTTCAGTTTATCTGAAAGTCGTATTTACATGAGTTTACTTCATTTTGTCAAACACCCTTTATTATATGCAAATTCCAACAAATAGTTGTTCCTTTTATTAAGAAAAAAGAAGACATTTTGCTGGATGCTTAAGTGTTTGTTTAATACCTCCTAGTTTATTCCAATATAAATCCAGCTTTGTCACTAATTGACAAACCTGCAACACCTTTAACTAACTCACTTCTGTTCTTTCAGATGTTAAAATTCCTCATGTACTATGTATCTCTACTAGTCTTTATGATTCACCTTGGATGCAGCTGTAGATCAAACAAACAATTTCTGCTCTCTACCTTATTCATTACTTTAAAATTTATTGCCTTGCTTAATAAATGAAATTATTTTTCTTTGTGTTGAAACGGTTTGTTGATGCTATCAAGGGAATATATGTGCACGCATAAAAGAAAATACAAGGAACAGCATTGGAGCGTTGTGGTCCAATGCAACCTTCATATTTCTGCAGTGCTTCTATCCTGTGCATCATATTTGCATAAAAAAATATGGGGGAATGCTGTGTACTTTAAATGATTATTTCTTACATGTACCCTTGTTTTCCAAAAGTTAAAAAAAATCAAGATATGCTTTGGTTCAAAATATAATAGTAATTATTTGGAGTTTAAATCTAATCTTTTTCAGGCAGGTATGGATAGTTACTTGTTACTTATTTGTTTGATGCATACATCCTAATTAACATAAAGCTAAAAGTACAAATAATTACAGAACTTACATACTTTTTGGATCTCTCTAGTTATAGGTAACTCAAATTAACCCAAAGAAAATGGAAACACAGGCTGGGCTGTGGTCCTGGCAGTTTTTATTTTTGGGTGTTGAACAGTTATTGCTATAGATGATGGTGTCAGGTTGAAACTCTAGTAAACAACCTTTGAGTGAGTGAACAAAAAAGGCACTCCTGAAAATGGAAGCTAATCATGGTGTTAAGTGACTTCTCCAGATATGAATAGCCTTACTAAGAAATTTACTTTTATATGTTCCTTGAAAACCATTTTCACTTTGCTATTAATACTGTAATGCTAATTTTCTTTGAGGATGTGTTGAAAAAAATTCTAAACTAAACCACAAAAATAAAGTCCTATCACTAAAGTACATGATTTAAAATAAACGACAATAATAATTCTTTGCAAAAACTTATGTCAAATACTTGTTTAAAGCATGAAAATCAAATCAAAATACTAAATGAACCCCACATTCTTTGTGATTATGTGAGTTATATAGGATATGTCATTTTATAATAGGCCATTTGAAAAAATGCAACAGCAAAGAGCCATGTGCAGAAAGAATAACAAAAGCAGAAATGTGCTCATTGTTAAAACAAAAATGGTAACTGGGATGTTTCAAAGTAGATATTTTCTATAACCTGTGTTACAGCCATAATGGTTTGTTTTGAGAAGTTACCAGTCCATATAGAAGGACACTTGGGAACACAAACCTCATTCTATAGCTCTCTCTCTCTCTCTCTCTCTCTCTCTCTTCATATATTCAATAAAAATGTTAAAAGGAAAAAAGAAGTCATTATTCTAATATATTTTATTATTATTCTATATATTTTTCTCCACTTATAGCCAATGATGCACAAAATTTTAAACATTTTTATATTATTATTATTTCTGTTATTTTGAGATAAGGTCTTATATCATTCAAGCTGCCTCAAATTTGATATATAGCAGAGCATAACCTTGGATTGCTGATCCCCTTCCTCCCTCTCCTGAGTGCAGGATTACAGACTTGTTCTGTCTGGTTTATATGGTGCTGGAGATTTAACTCAGGACATTATGGGTCAGACCAGACAAAAACTTTACTAACAGTGTTATATCCTTGCCCTGATAATAAATTTTTATAAGCAAATATCAAAAGGAATTTACTGAGCTTCTTTAGTTTTAGTTTTAAGGAAATAAATTTAGAGACGCACATTTTGTATTTGTTTTCTTAGATCATTTGTTCCTATGAAATATTTATCATTTTCCTGTTTGGAATGCTAAGGGTTTTTCAGTTTGATAACTAAAATCTTCCTGTGGTTTTCATTTGAGTTTATTTATGTGTTGAATCACAACACTCTATCTCAAATAGTTTTTATTACCAATGTTTTTATGTTGAAATGTATGTTGATTCTTTTAAGCTATCATATCTTGATATTAAATTAGCAAAATTGGAATGGCACAGAGTGACTACTTTGATTAATGGCAACCCCTGATCATGACCGGTTTCACTGAACAATTTCCAATTGGGCTACATAAAGACTTCTGAGATTATTCAAATAGAATGGATTGGCAGCAATGTGCTCAATATTTCTCTCTCTCTCTCTCTCTCTCTCTCTCTCTCTCTCTCTCTCTCCCTCTCCTTCCATCCCTCTCTCCTGCTTCTGCTCTCTCTCCCATCTTCTCTCTCTGTTTTCCTATTTCTCACCCCAAATTAAGTAGTAATTTGGATCTACATAAAAGTCATTTGCCTGTATGTGACCTATGGAAGAAACAGGTTCTGTCAGAAGTTAAGTCAGACCCTAAATTGGTGACTTGTTTTGACAATTTGGAATTTTTTGAGTTTTTGTATATTACAGTAAGAACTATCTTGGTTTCTGGCAAATAAAACAACAAAGCTCAGAAATTAATGTCAGACCCTGAGTAGGAATAGGTGCCCTAGCTAACTTGAGTAGGAAACACAATCATATAAAATCCTGCTCTAAGTGGTCGCCCACTCATCCTATACAGTGGATCTTAAATGTTGCTCTCAACAGAGAATAACATGACTCTGGATGTGAAACAAAAACTATTTACAGTAATCTTTGTGGGTATCAAGCACCATTGTCTGATGAGAAGTGTGACATAGATAGAATGTAACCATATTGAAAGATGTTAAAAAATTAACCTACAATCAAACAGAAAAAAGCATCATGAAACTTGACAGGTGACATCAATGTCCCTTTCACTGACACTTCATTTTAATGTGTTCAGACACTGAAGAGAGTTTGAATAAAACACTGATTACAGTTAATTTTTTGGTCAAACTGGGGCTAGGTTTACAGAATTTTTTTTTTTTTACAGACATAAATTAAATAGCAAAAGGAGTTTCCAATAATAGATATTATTTTTCCAATTCATTTAGCTGTTAGAATTGAATATTATTTTATAATTTCAGTTTATACAATGAAATTTCATTGTATAGGGTTATTACTGATATACATCATTAAAATTGTGAACTCATAAATTAATTTCAAAATTCATTTTAGAAAGATGACTAAAGTAAGTCTAGTGATCAGTTATTTTTTGAACAGAATTAAGCACACTTTCAATGATAGATATAAATTAAAACAGATAATTATTTAAACCTATATAAAAATAGCCATTATTAAAACAAGTGTGAAAGCATATTTGATTTTATACGTAAACACATCAAATAGTTTTGTCTTATTCATCTGAATATAGTACAGATTTTGCAAATGTTCTGCTACCTAGAGGTTAAGAATATTTTCAGAGTGGTTGCTTAAAAGGTTTATCATTTTCATGGGAAAATAAAATATTACTTCATATATGTTATTTTAAAATATAACAATATTAAACATTTTAGTAACTTTTTAGAGGTTTTGCCTTAAGACATGAACATAGTTGTCTGATGGTAAATTACAACTAAAAATAAGAAAACACAACTTCTTCAAATGAACCATCTTTTGCAAAATGCACTGGAAAAATTTATACTACAATTTTCAGTTCTGTTTTCTGATGCCACAGGGAAAACTAGAGGGTCCTGAGTTTCTGTTTTCCTCAGTGCTATATGGTTCTCTTTGTTTTGTTTTGTGTGCACAGGTGTATTTAATTTTCAAACACAAAGAATGACATATTTCCATGCCTTAAAGAAAGTAGTAATTGTGGCCAGTAAATGCACACATGGATATGATTTCAAAGCCTGCATTCCTTGATTCTTCTGTCATGCATTAATTATGAAAGGCTGAACGAAAGATCTCAATGAAGCAAAGTTTTTACAACGCAGTGAAACTCTGGGTACCTGATGCTAAGTGTAATTAACAACTTTTAATCAATGTATTTAACCTCTGATCCGCTTTTAACATGCCCACTAGACCCACTACAGCACATTTGCTGTGCTCTCTAACAGTTTTCCACTTGACTTTTGCGACATGACAGTTGCTGCTTGTGTTTTCTGACTTTTTTGCTGTTCTCTGTTTTCATTCTTCTCCCCTTCACAACCTATTTAGGAGATAACCCAGGTTGGCTCAGTCTGTTGTGTGGTTCCATATGTTCATCTGCTGTGCGACCTCTATAAATTGCACTTCCAGTGTGTCTAGCTCTGGGAAACTTGGGGTCCATCTTCAGCAAAAGACAGTTTACCTTGTTACTATTCGAACTTTCTCAAATATCTCAGCATCAAAAGTCACTTGGTTTTTTACCTAAAGTATCCTATCATTTATTCTTCTTTAGCTTAACGCAAAATATACTGACCATTATAAAACAAATTACCAAGGATGTGTAACAATCGAAACATTACTCTTTAGGAAATTTGTGCTGCCAGGTTTTCTTAAACACACGTGCATTTCTTACATTTAAATTATTTTAAAGTTTTCCACATGCTTATCAGAGTTGCCACCAGACAACGCTGCGCTTTAAAGAATGAAACTTACCAAGAAGAATGACAACACAGAGAAGAATAGCGATTAGGGCTCCTGTGCTCAAACCAGCCGAGGACAGGAAGGCTTCGGCGTTGCAGGTCCGCACGCGCCCATCTCTCTCGCATGCACAAACCCTGATCGTGAGGGTGCTGCTGCTGCTGAGAGAGGGGATTCCACCATCAGAGATCATAATGGGTAGATAATACACATCCTGCATAGTTCGACTAAATCTCCTCCGCCTTGTCAGAATGCTGGCTGTGTTATCTATGACAGACATAAGCAAAACAAAATATACTTAGTAAAGCTGCCATTCAAGAGTCACATTTCCTTTCATGGATGACATGGGCATGTAAATGGACAACATAACATGAATGGGCAATTATTAAAGGAATAGCTAATATTGATTCCCAAATTAAAAAATCTACTTAAAATAAATGTTGGAAGGAACCCAGTAGAAAGAGGAGATAGGAAGCAAACATTTTGGATGTAGACATAGCAGCTGTAAGATTAAAGGGCAAAAATGGCTTGAAGCCAGTGGTGACACATGCAGATCTTCCCAAACACAATGAAACTGTATGTAGATCAAGTGAACACACTAAAAATATGGAAATACTGCGACAATATTATTATGAAAACACCAGCTTGATTTAACTGTGCTTGACAAACTCTTGTTCATAATGAATAATGACCGTAGTAATTAGTAGTTTTATTTACTTTTTCATATTTGAATTTACTTTTATTTTTTGAGAATTTCATATGAATATTTCCTTGGCATTATTTCTGTCTCTCCCAGTGTCCCACCAACTCTTCCCATGTTCCCACACTCTCACAAATTCTTGTCCTCTTCTTTGTTATTGTTCCATATATATATATAAAACACATGCGCGTGTGTGTATGTACGTGCGCGCGCACACACACATGTACACACACACACTGAGTCCATTAAGTGATGTACTTGTGTGTTTAGGGCTGCTAAATTGGGATTAGATAACTTCTTAGTAAAGTGTATGTACTATGATCAATACCGACATGATGCATATTAGCCAGTCCACACAACTTTAAAAAGAGAGAGTGCCACATCCCTAACTTTACAGAAGAAATAGTTTGCATTATGAGCAAGATTTCTAAGACAAATAGCCAGTGCTCTAGAGCATAAGTTTCACACAGGGAACAAATCATATATTCCAGGACTCCTTTTTATTGAATTTTGAAAATTTCATAAAATACATATTGATCATATTTAGACCCACTCCCTTATCCGCACTCCCCATAATCTCGTCAGTGGATTCCATGCACTCTGTAATATATGTTAATGCTTATCCAGCCATGTTTATGTGCCCAAATATTCCTCAATGTGAGTTCATCAACTGGAGCCTGGTAAACATTTTACTATCAATCCTTAAAGAAAACCAATTCTCCCTCTTCCAATTATCATAGGTCTCCAACAGTTCATCAGCTAATGTTGAGGCTTCTTACTCATTTACCCACTTCAATGCTGGATTTTTTGTCTGGTTTGAGTTTGCACGGGTCTTGTGCTTGCTGTGACCATTGTTGTAAGTTCATATGAGCAAGTTCCCAGCCTCCTGGAAATTCTGTTTCCTTCTGGTCATTCACCTCCCAGTTCTTATAATCTTTCTGCTTTCTCTTCTGCAATGGTCCCTAAGCCCAGGGCGCATGAGGCTTAATATAGGAGTTATATCCATGAACACACATCTACAGTCTCTTATTCTTTATACTTTGGAAGTATAGGATTCTTCTCAAATTGGATGTCAATTGATTTAGTGTCATAATCCATTGAAATTAGTTCCTCACCAATTCACCATCAGTTGATATTGATATCTTCAAAAGTATATAGTATTTGACCAAATTTTACATGTATGATTGCTCAGTCCAGAATGTATCTTACCGCAAACAGATTTGTGACACATTTGGACATGCTGCTCAGATCTGCCTCCTGGGGGCTTCATTGCACCTGAGAGGAGTCCAAGATCTTCTGAAGGAGAACATAACCAGTTCCCCATTGCAATATTGTAATTATCAATCCATTCTCAAAACTCTGGTGAGAGTTTGAGGGATAAGGTTAGACCCCAAATATTCAATAAGGTCAGACATAAGAGGCATTATAACTTTATGACAATTCAACTTTCCCTTCATCCCAAACCAATACCTTCTACTATGGTCTACAGACATTGATCTGAAGGCTACAATTACATCCTGCATAATTTTATTCAGTCAGCTTCTTGAGAAGCCAAGCTGTGTTTACAACTATAACAATTACTTGGCACTGGATAACTTAGAAAACAACTAAACAATTATTTTCTTGGGCTGGAGAAATGGCTCAGGTGTTAATAGCATTGACTGTTCTTCAGAAGACCCGGGTTCAAATCTCAGTACCCTCACAGTGACTAAGAAAAGGTCCATAATTCCAGTTCCAGGGGACCCTCTTCTGTCCCCTCTGGGTATTGCACAACAGGGGTGTACTTACATGCAGGCATAGCACTCACAGACACAAACTAAATAATTTTGTAAAAGATTCTTTAGTAAATATTCTAGCAAACACTTAAACACTAGATTGACTAAAAGTGGAGGAAGTAGACAGCAATGACTTGTTTCTGCAACCAGTAGAAATGTCTTGAATTTTCCCCATTTGATATGTTTGCTATAGGCTTACTGTATACAGTCTCTATTTTGTTGATGTATCTTTCATTCATTCCTATTTTCTTCAGGATTTTTATCAGGAAGAGATGTCAAATTTTGTCAAACCTTTTAATGCATCAACTGAGACGTTCATGTGATTTCTGCCCTTTTGTAATATTTAAATGATATACTAAAATTTTCGACTTCTGTATGTTGAATCATCCCTACATCTCAGACAGAGCATTTAAGATCTTGAATTCGAAGAACTCAAAAAAACCTAAACAAATTACATGATCCAATCAATAAATTGGCTAATGTGAAAAACAGCTTTCAACAAATAATAATTAATAGATAATTTTTTTTAAAAATCCCACCATGTTAACCATCAGAAAAATGGAAATTAAAGATACATAGAGGTTCTAGCTCAAATCAGTCACCATGGCAATCATCAATACTGCAAATGCCATGCTGGAGAGATGACTTGGGCATTATAAACGCAGGCTCACAACTGAAACAAAAAGGCTGTAAATTTCTGCAAATATTATTGAGCACACACATGCAGACTTAAAGGAGCTTGTAAGCAGTGCTGACAGAATGTAAACTAGTAAAAATGGTATAGAAATTATATAGAGTTTTCACAAAACCTTAAAAGTGATATATAATATGGGCAAGCTATACTTTTACTGGGTATTTACCCCAAAGCCTCCTGTATCAACATGTTAAAATTTCCACACTAGTGTTTATTGTGGCACTATTCATAATGGCTGTGAAATAGAACCAATTCTGTATCAATGGAGGAATGGTTTAAGTATTTTTATCTCATATTTATTCTTTTTATTAATGGAATATTTTTATATTGATTTAATTATGATAGCCATATTCCAAAACTATAAAGCATTTTTTCTGATTGTACATTGCTAAATCATTGTATTCCATAATTAATTTTTCAAATAGTCAATGTAGAGAAAAAATTAGTAGAACACATTGAATTGTTAAAGATATGTTACACAGAAATAACTATTATTTTTAAAATTCTTACACAATGAAAGAGTATTCTATTAATTTTTAAAATAACAATTTATTTACTTTTTTGTGTGCTTTGTGTGTGGAATGAGAGGGCACTGTGCATGCCCTAGATCACATGTAGAGGTCAGAGCACAGATTGTTGTGTTTAAGTTTCTCTTCTTCTTATGTGGGGCCCATTGTTCAAACTCATGTCATAAATTTTACTGAAGGCATCTTTGTTCACTGGGGCATCTTGTTAATCCAGAAGAAGTCTTTAAAACTGTATGTAGTGCTTATTCTGAGCCAGGACACAAAATATGAAAGGAAGAGGAAAAATGTATTTTGTGTATGGTTTACTAACAAACAGTAATTTGATACTGTCCTATATTTGATGTTTAAAGGGGCAACTAAACTTTGCAGGGTAGGACATGCCTGTAATCCAGCACTTGGGATATAGAGGCAAGTGGATCTGTATGAAATGGAGGACAGCCTGGTTTTTATAGTGAGTTCTAGACCAGCTGGGGCTTCAGGGAGTCCCTCACACAAAAAACTAAAGGAAAAAAAAAGAAAGGAAGAAATCCCCCATCCATATCTCCCCCATTCCCCCACCAAACTCCATGCACTCTGCCACACATGTTAAGTCCTATTCATTTAGGTGTTTGGACTCAGTGTAAATGTGTCCACTGAAGTCTAGTCAGCCCATCCAGCGGTCATATGTAAGTCATACTCTCCATCACCCAGCAGTAATCAGTTCCAAATAGTTTTCAGTCCAGTGCCATCCCACCACCTATTTCTCACCTCCCCTTTGGGCCCTTGATCAATTGAGCTGAAATAGATGCTGCGCTTGACACCACCACTGCCTCAGTTCACATGAGCAAGCCTCCAGTGGCCTGGGAGCCTCCACCTCCCTATATTCATGAACCAGCCCTGGCTCCTACAATCTTTCTGCCCCTTCACCTGCAATGGTTCCTGAGCTGTGGGTGGGTGAGATTCTATACAGGAGTCCCATCCTGCACTCTGCACTCTCTTATTCTCCAAAACATGGCCAGCTGTGGCCTTCTGAGGGCATCACACTCTGCTGTACAAGGAAGCCTCACTGGTGAGAGTTGAGGGATGCATTAGCCCTCTCTCTGCCCCTTATTCCTCTATGTTCCATGAGCCTTAGTTGTAGAGATTCAGTCACAGATGTTTCACCTAGCACTGGGCATCTCCCAGACATATGTTCTCTGTGCCTCACCAGAAGTGCAATTCTTCAATATCCTCCATCTGGTGCAAAAAGAAGTTTCTTTGATGAGTGCTGTACATCATGCTTGTCTGTAAATATAAGGATCGATATTTAGCATATAGTAAGAAGTTTCTTTTGTCTCGAGATATGAAAGAGATCGAGTTTTCTCCAGGATCTATGTACTCTACTGCCAAGTGTATTTGGCTGAGTATAGTGTCACCCATGAGTTCACTCCCATCAAGAGGGCTTTAAGTCCAATTAGATAGCTGTTCATTGTCCTAGATAGCAGTGCCACTACTGCACCAGTACAGGTAGTTTGCCATGCTGGATGCCTTGGTTATTAGGCTTCAGGGCTGGGATGGACCCGTGATTGTTATTCTCCCTTGGAAGTTTGCAT